GTTCTGTCTCAGCAGAATTTTTAGTATCTCCAAAGCACAATGTTAAGGTAGATACTCAGTTTCACACTTTGTGTGCAGGGTAACATACAAAAAGATATATGACATATTTCATCACAACAGTGCCTGGCACAGTAAGTGAACAGTATAGATATGCCTTGAGTGTACCTTAAGGAGGCACAGGGTGCATCTCAGAGTCCAGTACAGCTATATATATTCATCCTACTGTTAAGTCATACAATTCCTTAAAGATGCAATAGAACTCTACATTTGTTGCATTTGTGTCGTTTTCAGTCATATGAGTTTAGAATCTTTTTTGAAGACAAAACAGCAGGTAGGAATCTCAGTTTCAGGTCACAGAAGGGGTGAAACTGTATCTATAGTCATTTATGTGATGTAAACAAATAAATTAATAGTGACAAACTCTTGCACAGAATTTTATAACTATAGGTCTCAAAAAAGGTAGGTTCGTATCATTATAATAAAAATCATATCATGATGGAATATAATCATTTTTACAGATGGGGAAATGGAGGCACAGAACAGTAAAGCCCAAAATCATGGAGTAGGCCATTAGCAATTAGAAATAAAATCCAGGTAGAACTGAAACACGGGAGGTGTGGAAAACACAATAAACTAAGTTGAGAACATCATCTAATTTTCAAAAATATTCATTTAATCATTTTCTTTTGTTCCTCACTGCCAAAGGCATCAAAAGGCCCATATCATACATATCTAAGTTTCAAAGAAGTTGTTATACAACAGTTTTAACTATTACATTATTTTTACAGATAATACAACAAAAATATTTTGTTAATTCCCTAAAGTAGGGCTGTCCAACTTCTAAGCATCTGGGGGCCACACTGTGTGTGGACAGTACCAGCAGTGGCTGCAGTAGTCCTTGCTGTGGACACTTTCCATCCCTCATTGCACCATATACATGGGTGCTCCCCCCTCCCCTTCCCCCCCACTTTGTGGCTGCACCGTGCACATGGGTGGTCCTACCACAGCTGCAATGTTTGGAGGTGGGTGACCCCCCTACTCACCAGCCACAGGCTCCCCTAGCATTATAGGCTACATTGCCTGCAGAGGCAGGTGCACGAAGTAGAAGCCTGAGAGAAAGCCCAGAGCCCCTGACTGCTAGCTCCTATGTGGCCTACTTTTACACTGAGCTTGGGGTCCACAGATTAACCCCTTTCAGCCACATGTGGTCCACAGGCTACCAGTTAGACAGCCCTACCTTAGATAATACCTGTGATTTAAAGTCCAGTATTTTGTGCCCTGTTTGCATTCCAAAACTTTATCAGACCAGTACAATTGTTTTCATGATCAGCAGATGTATTTTAGCATTAGTCCTTGAACCAGTGAACAGAAAGAGTTAGTGTTTTCTGTTTCTGTCTCTGCATATCAAGTCTAACATCAACTTTTATATTGCCCATTGGTCTGAGAGAATATGTAAAGCTATCTCATATATGACTTTGCGCGCGCACGTGTGTGTGTGTGTATGCAAAGTGATAATGATGTAAGTTACGGATATATATATATAGATATAGATATATAAATAAATATGAAAATGACATTTAAATTCAAAAGTTCATGTTGAACTTTTCTGTAACTTACATCATTATGACAGAAAAGCCACAAAAAGCTGTAACCTGGGGAAAAAAGCCATTATAAGAACAGTATGTCAGCATAAACTTTCACCTGTTAGGTATTTGCCCATTCTTCTGATCTTAACATAATATGATCCATGGAGGGATCTTTATGATTCATTGTCTTTTTTATTTTTAAAGCAATCAAACAAATCCATCAAAGGGAAACAAGCCCTTATAGATGAGTACTGCTTAAATATGTGATCACAAGCATTTGTAATTCCATTATTATTCAGGTACTTGGAGGTTCAGAAGTGCTTCTTTAGAGATATTCCAGACTATCATGTAAGGATTTACTGAGAATGGCCATTAAGGGTGCAGTTTATCCCACCCTGAACAAAACCCACACACAAGCAGTCTTTTGTTTACAGAATTTTGCAGGAAGTGGAAATGAAATTCACTGTTTCAACTTGTGGCCAGGCCATAGTGGAAGGACACAATTCCTCCACAGTCTCAAATATGCTGGGCATTTCCCCCTGAAGCTTCAAGGTGAGGCTTTGTGCTGTGCCTTTATGCCCTCGTGATTTGGGTCAGTTACATACAGCCTGTTCCCCAAGTGACTTAGACAAGCCAGGAAAGCTCTTTGTAAATGATGACAGGACATTAGCAGTTGGGTCACATTCACTTTCCCCTTACCTTAGTTACTGGATAAAATACATAAACAGTTATTGAAGTATGGGCTGAAACCCAAGGCGCTCCGTTTTTAGTGTGTCCCTTAATCACTAGGCTACAGAGTCATATCCTCCCACCCTGTGCTGTCTTTGGCTCAGCTAATTTTTAATTCTTACTACAGAGTGGAACAGCCTTAACCAAAAGAGGGGAGTGGCCCACAGCCCTGCCTTACAGGCAGTTTGTAGCCTGATAGTGAGGGTTTTTTCCAGGGGATGGAAAGTTGTGGGTGTAAGTCCCCTCAGGCAGAGGGAAGAGTTGAACTTGGGGTTTCCCCAATCTTACATAAGTATTTTAACAACTAATTGTTATATAATAAGCTGAGGCCAATGTCACAAGCAGCCTTTCCTCCTGCCAGGCTTTTTAAAAGGATGTATACCCTTTTGTTTTTAAAGATTATATATAGATATCCACCTCCAGAAGATTCAAAGCTGTGAATCCAATGTGGATGAGAGCACCTCCTGCTAATAGTGAGGACCCTGGCAAACATTAAAAAAAGTCATGATTGGGATTTGAGGAATTTTATGCCTCATCACAAACATTGCTCATCCTGCCATGCCAGACATTCTGTGCTGGATGTGCAATGTTTGAGATTCATAGATTCATAGATGTTAGGGTCGGAAGGGACCTCAATAGATCATCGAGTCCGACCCCCTGCATAAGCAGGAAAGAGTGCTGGGGCTAGATGACCCCAGCTAGATACTCATCTAACCTCCTCTTGAAGACCCCCAGGGTAGGGGAGAGCACCACCGCCCTTGGGAGCCCGTTCCAGACCCTGGCCACTCTAACTGTGAAGAAGTTCTTCCTAATGTCCAATCTAAATCTGCTCTCTGCTAGCTTGTGGCCATTATTTCTTGTAAACCCTGGGGGCACCTTGGTGAATAAATACTCACCAATTCCCTTCTGTGCCCCCATGATGAAGATAGGGCATAATATTCCTTAGCTCTCAGTCACAGCACTTCAGAGCTGCCCCAAGCCCAGTCTTACACACCAGGCAAGGGGCAGCTCTGTCCCAGACCCAGGGAACTGCCACATTTCTAATGCTGACTCAGGTTGTGTTGGAAACTTATGGCAGTCCTGGGCCGGTGCTGACAAACAGTTAATGGTTGGCACCCATACTGGATGGCCCCAGGTCCAGATAGAAACCCAGGACTTTCACAGGCCACTGGTGACAATCAGGTGATTTTCAGCACCAGCCCTGGCCAACTCTGGGATCTGGTTCAAGACTAGAGGCTATCTAAGGGCAGGGCCAGCAACATGCACTTTGAAGTGCTGGGTCCAAGCAAGCCTGCATCTTGATGCTGACAATCCATAGTTGTTGACATTAAGACTGGGGCAGCCCCTGGCTTGCCCAGGACCCAGTGCTGATGATTGGGTGATGGCACTTGCCAGCTCAAAGATATTACACATTTTTGTGGGACATCTTTGTAGTTGGTTTGCCATTTTATGGCACCATAAATGCAACTAATGTATGGCATGTTGTTAGTTATGGCACAATTAACACATTAACTGTGCCATAAATGTAACCTGCTAGGGGCCTGAAAAACTCACGCAATCCATGTTAAAGGGGCAGAATTTAAGACTTACATCCTCAACATTTCTGTCTCCAGGCATATCGCAGCTAATATCATTCCAAGGTACCTGACTTCCACGTGCACTGTACAGGATACTCAGTTACATTGTTAATTTACTTTACAACAACTCAGTGTAAAGTAGGCCACAATTTTGTATCTCCAGGTCTGTATCTCAGCTCTTTCATGTGTACAAATAGAGACAAATTCTCTTGTGATATAAAAGTGACTCTACTTCACTTTATGTCAGCAAAGAATTTGACTCATATTGTAGTTTGATTGTGAGGCTTAATTGTAAGTTAAGCAGCAGTTTCCAAATGCTCTGCCACTGCCCTTCTTTGTCAATAAAATAGGTACAAAAATATTTCACAGTCCTGACGTGGAGGTTAAAGGTACAAAATTCTGTGTGCTATGGCTCCTCTCTCTTTTACTTTCTCCCTTCTTCTCTAATATCAATCTGTCTGTCCATCTATTGAAACAGTAAGATAAATTCATACATGTAGTACACTTACACACAATCAGAGAGGGAGAGATGGGCATGCATTATAGTAGGTACATCAGTAGCAGTGAGTCACTATTAGGAAATATAATGCTGCTGCTGATAAAATTTGCTCCACTTGTCACTGCTGGAGATGTTTCCATTAATGGTATAGGCTATGATGAATTTATTCTTGCGACTGAATTTTTCAACACTCTCTTAATGAACAGTGTAAATACAATTAAAATATTGTATTTTTCTCATATTAGTTGCATATTTAAAATAAGCATTTGTACTTTGCTCCACAAGTCACCAGAAGATCTGATGAAGGATTCCTTAGTTAAAAATATCCCAGAGTGAATTTCTAACTACCTTTTAAATACTTAAATTGTCAAGCTAGCATTTTGCACAGATAGAGATTTTCAGTGTATTATTCCCTAATGTAAGTCAATTAAAGCTGTAACACTTTCCTAAATTTGAATCTCTAGATCAAATGTTTTTCTAGTTGCACATTTGCCTTCTGTGCATTTATTTCAAATGTTAATAAAGTTTTCATCTACAAAAGGTTTACAATTGACAGAACAAAATTCTTCCTTTTTAAATCATGACAACTACTACTGTTTCTGTCTGCAGGTAGTGGAGGACATGCTAGAGGACGAGGAAGAAGAGGATGACAGAGATGACAAGGTAATTATCTTTCTTAGCACTTGGGTACCTGGGGATGGGAGAATTTAGACATGACACTGTTTTTACAGACAGTTAAAAAAGGAGTTGAAGTGTTTTAGTCCAGAAAATTGGACAGAGCTGTTTATCATCCTAACAATGCTACTGTGTGTTGCGGGAAGGGATAGAGGACTATAAATCCTCTTCTTTTTTTGTCCAGAGCTGGGTCAAATATTTTTTCTGCCAGGAACAAAAATAATTCAGCTTGTCTGGAACTTGATAGCTCTTGTGAAGATAACTGTGGTGACAACTGTTTTTGAAGGACAAAAATTTGTCCTGTCTTGAATGTTACAAATAGGGCTGTACTTTAGGGGGGGAAATGGTGTAAAAATAGCAACTCCACACTGGTTGAAGATGGGTTATTGCCATCTATAATTTTCAATAAATTACTTGATAGAGAAAGCTTCATATGTTCTGTACTCTCTATGACATTTAAATAATCACAATTTTCATAGCCATCCACTTGATTTGGGACTGGCATTGGGGCCCAGCAAGCCAGAGAACTGTTGCAGATCTTTCGGCGTTTGAGAATATGTGGTTTGGTTCCTAGGCTACTGGTTGGGTTAAGGATTGCAACCACAGTAAATAACAGCTCGTTTCCCCATCTTACTGAGTCAAACTATGAACTGTTTGGATTGGTTGTCCCCTAGGGAGAGGGAATAACCAGAGGGAGGAAATTAGAATGACCTTGCACCACAGATGCAGGGGCTAGCATTGGCAGGATAGCTTTGCTGGAGAGTCAAGTGCAGTAAAGAGAGCCCTGCTGTTGTCTCAAGGATTTTCATACCAATAAGATGAGATATGCGAAAGAGGGGGGAAAAAAACATATTATTTTAAAACAGTGCAGCATTAAACACAGGCAATTTTGACCTTCACAAATGTTCTCCTACTTCAGCTATAGTAAAGCAATGAATTTTTTTGAAGAGAGGAGAAAAACAGTGTATCTTAATTTATGCCCTTGACCTTTGTTTCTAGTAGAGATGTACAGTTACATACCACTGTAAAGATTCGTATGCTGGCAGCAGCATTTGAAATGTCAGAAAATTCACTGTGATTAGTTAATCCCCTGAATGATTATTTTTCTGTTAGCTAACACCCAAGATTTGAGAGAGAGGATAAAAAAAAATGAGTATTTCCCTCATTCCATTGCCAGTTCAAACATTTTACAACTGACAGAAAGATATTATGTGAAATTCTTCTGTACATCATTTAAATTGTTAGCTACATCATTTCGGAGTCATCAAACATTGCAGTAACAAAGCCTCCTTTTTACAAAACACATATGTCCTAGTTCTTCACACTAAATGATATGAGCATACACTTCTGGCAATAAAATATATGATTTATTGCAAAGGTCAGCCATGTAGCTGTAGAGAGCTTGTATTTTAACTCAACATGCTAGCTCTGAATCATCATTTCTCTTCTGATAAACACTGATCTGCCATCCATTTGTAGCCATTTTCTCCTGCATCTGGCTGCTTTATTATTAGAGCCAGTATAAGAACATCAACCCAGTAGTATATGTGCTCCTGGAAATTTTAATAACTGTGATCAGTTCACAAAGTACAATACTTTACTGCTTGCAGTTTAAATCAGCCTATTTAGTTACCACTTTGTTGTTTTTCTCAAGTTACTAAACAAAGTGCATCCATAAAAAGCCTGTTATGCTCTAGCTAAAGCAGCTGCCAAACAAAACATACTAGATTTAAAAAAATAACACCAAATCTCTGGAGCTGTATCAGTTGTAATCTAGTGCTTAGCTGTCTGGAATGGACACCAAAGTTGAACCACTTCTTAAGATATAGTTACCAAAGGTGTCTGAGAGTGCTTAAATTACTGTGTGAATCACATGGTACTATTTACTGAATGACTAAGCAGTGTGTTTTGAGTACAAAAGGCATATGAGTTGCCTTTCATAAATTCAAATCCTTATTTCATTAGTACATACATTTTATTTAAGCCTTCATAATTCAGTGTGCTATCTGAAGAATCACAGACTGAACAGAAAGAAAATGACACATGCAATATTTTTATAAAAAATAGATGTACAATATACCCAGTAATTTCTGCAATGAACATTTTATTGCTACAAACTAGACTATAAAACAGATTATGAATGTCTCTTTTTGCCACTTTCCTCCTTAAGGCTGTATCATATACAATTAACTGCAACTTTTCTTTTTCTATCAGTTTGTCAGTATGGAAGGGGCAGAATTCTATACTCCTTTAATTCATAGGTCCCTCAGGCTAAAGGTTTGTGCGCAATTAAATGTTGTGAGAAAATAAATGCACACTTTACAATACTGGCAGGGACTGACCTCCAGCTTTCATTACTTTTCTGTTTTTTCATATGGTACAATAGTAAAGTCAGGTCAATGGGTCCTCTTCTAGGATAAAAGTAAAAAGATTAATAAATGTGCCAAAGCCTCACTTTAATTGAACCTGAAGCATATGTTGCAAGTATGTAAAATATGTCCCAGATGTTTAACCATGGCCAGTCCTTCGCTTTCCCTGATTACCACAAGGCAGCTATTAGTCCTGTAACCTTTGGACTTGGGGGTAAATGGGGTATTACATGGCACAAAACTAGAGCACCTGTTTTCCATTCAGTCAAGACCCCTGGCAGGCTTTGCCTAAGCCTATCCATATGTTTTCACTTAGCAGATTGTTGGGCGATTATGAAAAGTGTCTTTCTTTAGTGGCAGCTTAAATATTAGTCACTTACTCACAATGAAAGGGCAACTCATTGGCTACTTGATGAGGTCCGTGTGGGCACACACTGAAGTAGGTTAGGGGGGGTGTGGTAGGGGGCTGTTTCTTGACATCCCTATATAAATTAGAGTTACAGAAGTAATGAATTGAGGTTGCTGAATATCCAAATGTTTGCAATTAGTTAAAATAATAGTTTTATAATGTCTTTTTATTAACAATGACTTTTACTACTTGTGAGGAGTTCAGTTAAATTTGGTGAAGCAGAGCTGTAATTAGATTTTTGCTTATTTTTTCAAATCTTATTTTTCCAGGTTTTTACCATTTTTATTTAATCTAGCACTGCAAATAATCAGACAGGCAAGATTATAGATTTAAGCTCATATGATGTCTAAACCTCTTTTAACTGGAGGACATTAACATTTGTTTTCAATTGAAAAATGATTAATATGCTAAAATGGCAAGTATACTTGATGTTATTTCAGTTATAATCTAATGTTTAACATGGGGATGCTGCTTTCTTGTTATTATTACTTACTAATATTGTGCTTTGAAGAAGTGAAGTGCTCTTGCTGTTTGCTGTTTAGTTGCGACATTTGTCATAAATTTTAATACTTGTGTTTCAGTAAGTTAACACGGGATTCTGCATTCCATATGTTCTGTGCTAAACCTGTGCCAGCCACAAATTTACAGTTTGATCTGATTTTTTTTAACCTCTTTCAAATTCTGACTCTGTGGTTATACAATATCTTAGCAAATAAGAGTTAGTTAAATCACATGGAATCAAGTTATCAACAAACTATAAAAAAACCTCTTATGCAGCATTATATAATAATATTTTAGTGATCAATATGTATAATCTATACATCTAATTAAGGAAGATAAGATTTCACTTTGCAGCCTGGAAAGTTTAGGCATGTTTTTCTCATAGCTGCTTCTGTTTGTAAGAAGGTCCAGCTGAGATTTGAGGCAAGCGCAAAGGGCCTGATAGGTGAGGAGCCAAGCATTAGCACACTATAGAATCAGGCTCCGAAGTAACAGTAATATTACAGGTTTAAGGGGAAATTTTAACTATTGTCATACCTAAATTATTTTTATTAATTTTATTGATTATTTTTAATAAGAGGCTTTATTAAAATACTCAGGTCATTTATCTTTTTAACATCTTTCTCTAGCCATTTGTACTTAGTTTGGAAATATTTTTGTTATCTTGTTTCAAGATAATGGAACATAGTTAATTTGAATTAATATATATATGTAAGCTTTTAATCATAACTGTCAAGAGGTACCAAGTTTATTTTCAAGCCCAAACACATTTGTAAACTGCCTAAGAATCATGTCTTTGCATCTTGAGTAAATCATGAAGGGGAAGAAAGATAACTACGATATGTGATATGAAAAGATTCTAATCTGTCAAAATGACCGTTGCTTTCTATAAAATAAAAGCTGTGTAGGAAAACAGTTTAAGAAATGGGGGGGCAAAGGGAAAGGAGGAAATCAGAAAATTAAATATTGAATAGAAAAATCTGCAGACACACCTGCAGTTTGATTCCGGTGTTGGATTCTACACATACATAGCAACCTCAACACAGAACAACAGATGCATCTGAGGAGTAACTAATTGCATTCTCCAACCAAAACTGCAGCTGTATATGATTCTGCTATCCCCTAAAAGCCTAGTTAGGACACAGACATTTATCTAACAAACTTGTGATTCAACAATATGAAAAAAGTTATGTGGCTGGAATAAAGATGCAGTGTTTTAGTTCTGAGTGCCAGTTATTCACAGAGTGGGACATTCAGAAACCACCATAATTTGGCATATATGGTCATCCTAATGAGGGAAGGGATGAGGGAATCTACTACATATTTGTGCATGAGGGAGGCAGTTCATAAACTTAATATGTTCTTTGGGGACATACAATCCAGAAAAGCCTCCTCCAATGTTTAGGTAGTAGGGACTCAATAATACTGGTGTAATTCTGGAATAACTCTTTTGCAGTTATTGAAGTTCCTCTGGAATTAGACCAGTACAAGTCAGTGTCCCAGCCTCTAAATACATTCAGACAACTCAGATCCATAATCAAAGTTCAGCACCAAGGGATATCGTGTGCATCTGTGATAGCCTCTGGGGGACCTTTGGTCCATAAACTATTGAATGGATTACACTCATTCACGTATGTAGTTTTTTTTCACCTGTGACTAATATAATATGAATAATATTCTTCATTTATTAAGTCATCCAAGTATAATTC